ATAAGTTCATAAGCCATGTAAATTTATGATGAGACTTTGGTATATATAAGTGATATGTGTTGATGTATGAAGGCCAATTTGGAGTCCTAAACTAGCCTTGAAATCATGATTTTAATATGCATGATTGGGATTGTCTAGTTTAGGTTCTTTTCAGAGGAGGGTTACTATTTCATTATTTAACATATAGTAATCCATATCCAATGTTTGTGAGAATTTTTAAAATAAGACTAGACACATAAAGCTTTCCAAAAAGTCTTAAACCAGATCATTTGGATAGGTAAATCTTGAGTTATAAATTTTTCAAGTTATGGCACAGATTTTAAATGATGAACAAAGCGGCTTTAAAAAATTAAATAAACTGTGCTATTTGGAATCAAAAAGAGCTTAAAATTTATTTTTATCACTTAAAAGACTTTAATATATTTCAAGAAAATTTTAGAGTATCCTCATATGAATTTTTTAAATTTAGTTATGAATTTTCAAAGTCTAGCAAAAATTCTGAGCTTACTAAATGAGCAATAACCCAACAATTAATTTGTGAATTTTAAGTTATGAGCTTCAATTTTCATTTCACCTGAGCCGTATCACTTCTTAAAAATTAGGGTTTGACACTTTACTCTTCATCGGCATAATCGTGCAGTTAATCTTCCTATAGCTTATGCTTTTAAGGAAGTATGTATTTTGGGGTGAGTTTCTCAATCATCACTCTCTTTGCCCTCTTTTCTAAGCTTAGATACTTTGGAAGCTATAGATTTCGAGGTTGATAATTCCAGACCAAGGATGAGGAATGAAGATTGGAGTAGGCTAATTTTAGTTTATTTGGTTTATATCCTATTTTTATTTGTTTTTGGAATTTTCCCAGACGATTGTTTCATTAATATAAGTATCTTTACCCAAAAACACAAAAAAAAAAAAAAGTAGAGCCATATGATTTTAATCACCAAATCATTAGTACAATCTCAAAAGGAAATCTGATCATACAACTAAAAGAAAGGCCAATGACGAGAAGATACAAATCAAGTCCGAGAATGTGGAACCTGTACCCACAACAAATCTTTGCCCGCAGAGGTTTTAAAAGATGGACTGTACAGAAATGGGCTTGACAAAATTCATGCCATGGCTTTAAAAAGGCCCTGGAACCAAAAGTAACCCAAAGCATCATAACATTTAATTTTAGGGTTATTTTTTCATTTTTTTTAATGAAAAATATAATTATTAATTCATATACTTTTAGCATATTTGGGCATTAGTTATTATATTTTTTGTTGTTGCTTTTGGTCCCTTAAGTTTCATCTATCTGCAACGAGTAATTATTTGATAAATAAACTACTCAATTGTTTAGCTTTAAATATGGCATTCTCTTAAATAAGGACAAACATAAAAAGATACTATCAATTTAAAAATAGTTAACTAACTTATTGAGGGCATAATTTAGATAAAAATGCTTTTACTCTCCCCTTCCCTATTTATAAAGGATATTTTGGAAAAATTACACATATTAGTGAAGTTTATTAAATATATTTTATAATTTTATTTTTAAGAAAACAAATATAAGTTTCCAAAAATAATCTTAATTTAATATAACCTTGTTTATGAAATATTAAATAGAGAGAGAGAAAGATAAAATATAATAAGGAGGCAAAAGAGTAATATTAAAAAATATAATTAACTCATGATTTCGGTCCATAATTTGTGCCTAGTTGGTCCAATATCCATATTAACCCATTTCTAAGGCTATCCAACATTACAACAAGCACATTAGTGATCTGAAACTCAATTAACTTAATTAATTCACTAATTTAACCCCCAATTAGTTTATAAATCTTGGATTAAATTTTTGGGATGTTATAGATTATACTTGTTTGGTTGGAAGATTTTTAAAAGAAGGGGAGAGGATGAGAGAAAGTTATAATTATTTCAATTTAAAAAAATAAGAAATTAGGTTAAAAGATTTTAATTAATTTGTCTTCCATTTATAATTCAGGAAGAATTACATTGAAGTCTCACAAAAAAAAAATCAATTACTACAAGGTTCAGTGACAAATGAACTAAGAAAATTGACAATATAGTTGTTAGTCTCCTTAATTTAATTATTAATAAATTATATAATAATTAATTTTTTTGTGTGGGATTTCAATATAATTCTCCCCATAATTTATGTATTCTCTTTATTAAAATTTCATAATCTTACTTATTTATTTTTAAGCAAAAAAATTTATTTGAATTTCACTTTCCTACCATTTTCCACTAAAACCCTCCAACCAATCGGGATTAATTTAAAAGGAGAAAAAAATGAATGGTTGTTCATGCTAGTGGTGGTTGATTTCATGGAGAGATGAAAAGGGCTTTTCTGAATCTGTTTCTACGATTCTCTTGGCTCCTGAATTGGCCCCCCTTGCATCAACCAGCTAGCAGCTAAGATTTTGACGCCTATGTAAAGCAACAATCTCAAAACCCCAATTAAAACCTCACAAGATGTCACCGATCAATGTTGGTCATCTTAATTTTCTGTGGCCACTTTTTCGTTTGAAGGTCATGTTTGACTTGTTATATGTGGCCAAATAGAAAGAAGGATTGTGACAAAACACATACGAATAACAAGACGAGATCAGAATTCATGAGGTTGCTCTTGCTCTCTGTCCAGTCATGTTTTGTGGGGTCCTCCTGCTATTAAATTCGAAAGCAGTTGTCATATTTTATTGCAAAAAAAAAAAAATAACATTGTAGAATTTTAAGGAAAAAAAAAATTGACTTAATAGTAGCTATGTGAGACGTATTAGGTATTCAAGTTTCCCTAAATAACACCAAAGGTTCAAACTTCTGTAAAAGAAAAAAGTCACATTAGAAATACTGCTCATTGTAATTGAATATGACCCTGTATATTATTGAATATCGGATTAATGTGTAAAAAATTAACACTCTTAGTGAATATAACGAGAAATAATACTCTTAACTATTTTTATTAAAACAAGGTTAAACTGTAACTTTGGTTCTCTAATTTTAATTTCCATGAGGTTTCAATTTAATCTTTTAATTTTATAAATTATTTTTTTCAGTTATTTAATCCCAACATTTTTAGTTTAATGATATTATTTGTGTCAATCATTATTATTAAGAAAATTAAACTTAATATGTCAACCTTTAATAATAATTTTGTAACATTTAAAAGTTTAATATAGAAATTTTTTATTAATGATAATAGTATTAGACACTTCAAAGATATTTTATGAAATTAAAAGATTAAAATAAAATATTGAACAAAGTTAAAATACTAAAAAGTACAACTTAGCCATAAAATGATAAGGACACCCACACACTCCTTCCAGTAAAAAATATAAAGTATTTTTTAGACTGAATATTAAAAAATATTAAGCATATTCAAAAATACCCTTTGGTTCATGGAAAAAGATGTAATAGAAAGGAATGGAATGATGGGAAATGGAATGATCATAACTATAAATTTATTTGGTAGAATATTTAAGTAGGTGAGAATGGAGTTTATTTATATTATTATTTGGTTAAATATAAACATAAATAAAAGGACTTTAATACCCTTACCATAATGAGGCAACAACCACCTTTTTCTTATCTTAAATTCTGAATGCATTTGCTTTATATATATATATATATATATTTTCATCATTCAAAAGTTTTTCAAAGGAATATATATACCTACATGCATTCATATATTAACGTGCTTCAAAAAAATTTAAATTTAAATTTTACTTTGCAAAAGTAAAAATTAAGAAAGATATAAAAATATGATACGCAGGAAATTAAATTTAAAATTTGACTAAATTCAAAAAATTCTTAAAAAATATTTTTATAAGATTAAAAATGTTGTAAAGAGAAAGTAATAAATAAAATTAAAACTAAAAAGGTGGGTGTGAAAAATTAACAGGGACATTTTAGTAAAAACTTATTAGATTTAAGGTGGATGATATGATTCCTCACATTTTTCTAAAACTTCCCCATTTTTAAAAATATGGTAATTCATATTCTTGGGAGAGACCATTTTATATCTCTTATAAGCAACCAAACATGAGTGGGATCAAAATAGAGACATGATTATCATTTCATGGGCCAAAATTCTTATAACCAAATGAGACCTCAATAAACAAAACATTACCTTTAAGTGAGACATTTTATTAAATAAAGGTAGACATGAAAAGATGATGTTACTTTAAAAACAATCAACTAACTTATTTAGTTAAAAATGTTTTATACTTCTATCTTAAATTATAAGATAACTTTAAAGATATTTTATTATATCAAAATATAAGATAATTTGATGAAAATAAGGTTTCTTTAATGAATTTTTTTAAAATCTTATCCTTTAAGTTAAGAGAAAATTGAAATTATTGTTGTGTAAATTTAAAGTTATATTAAGGAAAAGATTTTTTAAATTTTACATTTTTGTTTATAAAGTCTTATTATTGAACTTTATTAGTATGTATAATCTTATCTCAAATTTATTTATAATTTGAGATAGAAGGTATATGTTTAAATGGAGGGAGTATATATATACTTATACTCCAATCCAAAATATAAATAACTTTTAAAAATTATTTGTATACCAATAAAATCATTATTTCCATGAATATAAATTATTTTCTTTTTTATCCTTAATTCTGATTAATGACAAATGAGAAAACTATTATAAATTCACAAATACAAGAATTTAGGCTAATAAATATAAAGGATAAAATAAAAATTTTTATAAATATTAAATTACTTATATTTTAAATTAAGATTAACTAGAAAAATGTTTATGATTTAAACTAAACAAGTGTGTTGGGGTTTTTATTTGGGGGGGGATAAAAGAAGGGAGAATCAGTCTAAAGTCCCATGAAAGCACTTTAAATACGCTGAGGTCCCATGAATTTAAGAAATAGCTGCTAGGTCCTTAGGGACCTAAGGGTGAATAAGTCTGAAAGTGACATTTGCCCTCTAGCATTGAAAATAAGATTTTGCTTGCGCGCGCACGTCTGAGGAAACCCATGATCAGCAATAGTGAAGGTTGCTGCATATCCATGGTTGTTGATCACGGTAGGATCATCTTCACTTCCTCACGTCCATGATTACAGCCATTGTCTTCATCTAAGTGAGTTGGGAGTGTTTCTTCTGCAATAGCAGCATTTCATCGGCAGAAAATAAATTTTCTAGGTAAACGATTGTTGGCCGTAAACGATTACGTAAATTACCGATCAACAGTAGCATATCCATTGTTAGCTGGGTAAATGATTTCTTGTGCGTTAATGATTTCATTATTGTCTAAGGGTAGGATAATGCTTTCTGGGTAAACCTGTGATCATTCAGTTTGCATAGCTGATATATGGAATAATCTAATGCAACACTATTCCGTTGACAAATATCTGATATGAATATCTCTCTACATGTTGTCAATAGTGTTTTGTTGTGTTGTCAATATGAGATGAATAGTTGTCAAAACACTGTACTGTACAGGCTAACCAGTAAGAATGCAAGTACTACTGGAAAACATGTATTATGTTATTTTTTTCATATAGGATAATTTATATATTATTCCCAAGCATCTGAGGTAAGCTTGTTTTATTGAAAAATCTCTGCTATTAATGAACACTGCGTCTAGTTGTCAATATACTGTATCTGGTGCAGGTTGACCTGTAAGATGGCAAGTTCTTCAGGAGAACATATATTATGTTTTTTCCATATAAGGGGGCATTTTCAAAATGATGACCAAGGAAGTATGCAATATGTTGGGGGGAGTGTTAAAACTAGAACAATAAAGGAAGGGACAACATATGAAGAGTTGACAAGAATGATATCATCAATTATAGGGAATGAAAGTAACATAATCAAGTTAAAATTCACGATCAATATTGATGCAAGCACACTTGTAGATCTAGTTGATGATGATGGAGTAGAACATCTGATCAAATATAACAAACAAAGTAGACATGTGTATGTAGTTGCAAATGGGAATGACACCATAGAAGCATCAATGGATTGCCCATTAGAGAACCAACAAGTGTAAGTTGTGTAAATTTGTTTGTTAATGCAAATATGTTGAAAAGAACAATTGTAATGTTGTCATTGAATGCAGGATTGATAATTTATTGAGAGTTTCAGATGGATGCTCTTTCTCTCTACCAAGTATCTATCCTGAGATTGAAGACTTGGAATTGGCATGCGTTGTACAAATGTTAACTACACCAATACCTGAAATGAGTTCTATGAAATGGAAGGATTTGTTAGTAGGTAAAGGGCAGTTTTTTCCTAATGTTGATGCCTTTAGACAAGCATTGTACAAGTATAGCATCTCCTATAAGTTTTCATACAAGTTTAAGAAGAATAACAAAGAGAAAATCATTGCATATTGCAAGGTAGAGGGCTATGAATGGAACATTGCAACATATTCAATGGGGAAAGATAATGAGATTTTAAGGGTTATAAAATTCAACAATGATCACACCCATAATGCGCAAGACAACCTTATTGTGTCACACCCGACAAGGTTAAAATTAACATCATCAATCATGGTTGATGCTCTAAGGTCTAATATAGATAAAGGTGCCAATGAACTTGCAAGAGACTTGTATAGAGAGTACGATGTGCGATTGAGTTACAGTCAAGCCTATAGGGGAAGAGAAAAAGCATTGCGGGAAATACATGGTCGTGCAGAAGATTCTTATAGCATAATCCCTTGGATTTGTGATCGATTAATGGAAACTGATCCGATGACAGTTGCAAAATAGAATGCCTCAAATAATAGATTTGAGAGGCTATTCATTTCTTATGGATGCTCTATATCTAGTTTTTTAGGAGGTTGTCGAGCCATACTTTATGTAAACGGATGTCACCTAAGGGGTTCATACAAGGGAACAATGCTGTCAGCATGTACATATGACGCTGATAATGACTTATTTTCGGTAGCATATGCCATTGTTAGTGGGGAAACATTAGAAGATTGGTCTTGATTTCTTCAAAATGTCAAAGACATAACAAGATCAGTGGAGTTAACAATTGTTTCTGATCGAAATAATGCAATTATTGGTGCCGTGCAAGCTATATTTGGTAGTGGTGAGATACATGCATTTTGCTACCGTCATGTGAAGGAAAATTTTAGCATAGCATTTACGAAAATCAATAGAGGTAAGACGCGTACCTCGAGCAACATGAAAGACGATGCGTTGAAATTACTTAATGCAATTGCCTGTGCAAGGCATGAGGCTGAATTTAATGTTGCAATGGGGAATCTAAGATTGTTTTGTCCATAGTTAGCACAATGGGTTGAAACCTAAAGGGATGTAGATCGATGGGCTCAATGCAAGTTTGGATATAAATGATGGGATAATATCACAACTAATCTTGCAGAATCCTTTAATGCTTGGATTGTGAAAGAGAGAAAACACAATGTTAATGTCTTGATTCATGAGCATAGAGAGAAATTGGCAAAGAAGATGGTCGCTAGCAAAGCGGCTATGGGAAATTGGAAACATGGTGTCGGGCCTAACATTGAGGCAAAAGTTATGGAGCAAGTTGTGAGAGTTGAAAATTTACACGCACAAATTTATAGAGAAAATTTGATCTCTGTGCAAACTATATCAGTTAATGGACTAATACACTTGAATGTTGATCTTACAGCACGTACATGCTTTTGTTTAACATGGCAAATGAGTGGAATACCTTGTGCACATGCTTGTGCAGCAATCAAGCTACTTCATGGCAATGTGTACAATTTTGTGGATGAATGTTACAAGTTTACTGCTCAAGAAAAGATATATGCCACCAGTGTGAAGCCGATAGCCACACATGACTGTCCACATCTAGAAGCATTGACGGTGACAAATTTATTAACCGAAACCTTTTTGAAGCCACCAATGACTAGAAGGCCTCCTGGTAGGCCAAAGAGTAAAAGAAGGGAATCTCAATTCCAAAACAAAAAGGTTTATCATTGTGGAATATGCCATGAGATTGGTCATACCTCCAAGACTTGCAAGAATCCTAACCATGCTAGAAAATATTATAGACAAGTTTATTTTTTGTTTATATATATGGAAGTTATTTTTGTTTACTTTTTGGTTTATTGTACATAATGTATTAGCACTTTTCAATAGCAAATGCATAAATTGTAAATGAATTGATACCTTATAGTCAATGACTAATGGCAAGTAGTTAATAGGTTCTTGCACCTGGTTGATTTTTGCAGGGATTAACAGCACCAAGTGCGTCAACACTTGTTAATAGAGAATTAACACCTTATCAATATAGTTATATCCACTTGTCAATAGGCAATGGAAGTAGTCAACATGTTCTTATACCTTGTTGAATTTTAAAGGGAATAACAGTACTTACTACTTCAGCACTTGTCAATGTCAAATTTCTACCTTGTGAATATAGTTAATAATACTTGTCAATCTCCAAAACTAAGTAGTCAACAGGTTCTTGCACCTTGTTGAATTCTAAAGGGAATAACAGCACTTACTGCTTCAGTACTTGTCAATGTCGAATTACTACCTTGTCAATCTCCAAAGCTAAGTAGTCAACAAGTTCTTGCACCTTGTTGAATTTTAAAGGGAATAACAGCACTTACTGCTTCAGCACTTGTCAATGTCGAATTACTACCTTGTCAAATATAGTTAATAGTACTTGTTAATCTCCAAAGCTAAGTAGTCAACAGGTTCTTGCACATTGTTGAATTTTAAAGGGAATAACAGCACTTACTGCTTCAGCACTTGTCAATGTCGAATTACAACCTTATCAATATAGTTATTACTACTTGTCAACGGTGAATTATTAACTTGTTAATGTACTTATAGACACTTGTCAATAAAGTGATAATAACTTGTTGACATGCAATTAATAAAACAAGCTGTCTGCCACATTTACAAACCTGTAATCAGCTTTTATAACCAGCATTATCTAAGTTAACTACACAAAATGAGCTAACTATACAAAGGGATATGATGATCAATAAAATTATATCCTAAGGTTCTATAAAAAATCTTCTATTTCCTTTTCCTTGTCGATTGGGATCCTTCTAACAAGGACATGGCTTCGGGCTCCTTCATATTGTTATGATGACTTAGTAGCCACCACAAGAGTTCTACCTTCTTCTTATAGAGGTCATCCTGCACCACAAGTAAGTCTTATAAGGGACAACAACAAATATGTAGTACATGAAAGAGGGAAAATGTAAAGCAAAGAATGCATACGTCAGAGTATTTTGGCATCATATACCCATTCTTATCCACAGTGTTGTCCCACGATTGTAACCATGTCATAATGTGCACCCCACAAGTATGGCTAAAAACAAAATAAAAAACATAACGTAAAATTAATTTTTCACATGTAAATATAAGTTTAATGATGTATAAACATAAAAGGAACTCACATATCAATTTGCACATGAACTTTAGCCCATATGATGTCCGTGCTAATGTCATCCTCAAACAATTGTGGCTTGACTGCATGAAGTAGAGAGTGAAAGCAATTCCTCTGCAAACTCAAGACTTGCAATGTTAGTAATGTTAATTTACAACTAATCAAGAAGAAAACGACAAATATAGATGTTGGTAATGTTGAGTGACAAGTATAGACATACGCATCCTCTTGCCATCATTTCTTTGGGATCCAGTTGTCCTTTCTTTTTCTTCTTCTTCTCCTTTCCCTTGCCCTTCTTCTCAACATTCTCTTCTTCTTCCTCTTCTTGCTGTCTTTGGAAATACTCCCTGTTACTGACCAATGAATCTAATACATAGAAGTTCTTACTCTTGGTCTCAAAGACATAGCAAAACCAGTGACTATAGAAAAGAGTTGGGCTAAAAATGAAATCACAATCAACAATGTTATATCCAACAAACTCAAGAAATATTTCTCCCTTGTTGTCATCTACCGTCCATTTCAAAGGGTTGCTGATCATTTTTAGCATGAATTCAGAACCAAAGATATGTCTCCGAACTTTCCCTTCAGTTTCCTTTTGGTCACCTACCAAAGTTTGGGCAACCATTGACATCACCCTGTCACTAATCCATCTCTTTCCAACAAAACATTGTAGCTCTACACGAGTCAAGTAGTAGCTATACAAATCTACAATGATCCTATTGAAGAAGAAGGAAAAATTAAATAGATTGTCACTAATACTTTAGTCAGTCAATTTTTAGGCACAGTATAGGGACTTACTTGTCTCCCTCATCTTCCTCACATGGTATTGTGCATATTTGAAATAATTGCTCCTTCTCATCCATTTTTCTCTTCTTTCCAACATTAGTTCTAACCCATGGAGATTTCACAGTAGATCTTTTATATCTTTTTGATCTTCTAGGATGTTTACTTGATTGTTCTTCTCCTCTCCCTTCCTCGTCCTCGGCAGAATCTTTCCCTCCTACACCTGCCTCCTTATCCTCTTCCTCTTTTGAATCGTCATTGTTGCCCTTTTCTTTAGGAGAACCTTGCTGTTCATCATCTTTTTCTTTATCTTCTTCACCTTCTAATTTTTCTTCTTCATTCTCTTCCTCTTTTGATTATTCAGCTCCTTCTTCATTGTATTCTTCCTCTTCTAATTTTTCTTCTTCATTGTCTTCCTCTTTTGATTGTTCATCTCCTTCTTCGTTATATTCTTCCTCTTCTAATTTTTCTTCTTTATTTTTTTCCTCTAAAGCTGTCCCCTCATCAACAAGTCCTTCCTCTTCTATTTTTTCATCTTCATTCTTTCCCTCAGAATCTATCCCTTTATCATCATCTTCTTTCTCTTGTGATTTTTCACCTTCTTCCTCTCTTGAGCCTTGTCCAAGCAGCATTGATTGTAAGCTCATTAACTCCTCTCCAATGTCAGACACAAACGACAGCACTTTTCCATACAGCCTCCTTACTTCCTGCAAGATAATTACTGACTCAGTGCATAAATAAGACCATATATATATGTCCATTGTACTCTATTTTATACATACCTGGTGAACAAATGCCGATTCTTGATACACCTTGGTAGATGAACTACCATGTACAGTAGTTGGCTCATGCAAGATGCCTCGATTGCTCTTTTTCTCCAACTTTATTCTTATATTTACTTTATCATCATCCCAATATTTTAGAGCATCTATGACTTTTGGACAACCTTGGCCAACTGAAAAATTTTGGAAGCCCCATACCTAAAAACTTGACAAATCAGTATAAACATAAAACCTTTACATGGAAAACTTTGAAAGGCTATCACTTTGGATTAACGTAAATTGAACACACACTTACCATTAGAAAGTAGATACATCCCCCAACGTTCTTCCTCGTCCTTCCCTTGCCTTTGCTAAGCTGTTTCTTGTAGTCTTCTATCTCCTTGCAAAGTTCATTAAAAATGAACGTACCCCAATCATATGCGCTTGGTTTCTTTTGTGTCTCATAAACAACCTTCAATATACGGTTGCTAACCTCAAGACTTGCGGTTGACAATAGCAAGGTTCCCAATGCATACATTATAAAAAGTAACTCAAATTTAGCTACCTCCTTTCCAGATATAATCATTTCAGCTATTTCCTTCTAAGGCATTTTATAGTAAGTATTTCTCAAATTCTTAAAAGCTCTATCATTCACATTGACATCCCCAGTAATCTACTTACCCTCACTACGTAACCCCATCAAGTCATTCACATCCTTGGCCTTCATTTGCTTGATTTTCCCCTTTATGCATATTTCACGAGTTGGGGGGTCAAAGGCACGCATCAACTCTCCACAAATATCTCTTTGAATTTTTTTACAAGACATATAAAGAAGCCTATGGAATCCTAGCTTCTCAACCCTTTTTTGTAATTTCTCATCTTTCTTAACATATTTTGCCACTTCACCAAATTGGCTAGGAGAGCAGCGCGTCTGAAATGGTACGGTATATATCTTCACTGTTGTCTTTGCTTTGTCTTTCATCTTCCTTTATCTGGAAAACAAATAGAAAAGTTCAATTACATGTGTTGAAAAGAGATATATGCATACTAGTCATTACTAAGTTCCAACTCACAGATTTCTGCACTAGCATTGTTTATTAGTAAGAAAAAAACACAAGTCACAGAGGCATGACGATTCACTAGTTATGACAGTTCACTAGTCAATGGAGCATACTGTTGTTGTCAATGGAGTTTATGGTTGTAGTCATTGAAGTAATTAGTTGTCATTCATGGAATAAATGATTTTGATTAATACAGCATATGGTTGTTGTCAACAAAGAAAGCAGTTGTCGTCAATGGAGAAATTCGTCCATATTTAAAATTACATATTTTTAAGCAGAATTGGAAGTTAAACTTACCACAATAAAAATATAAAATGCAAGAGGAGTAGTTGAAAGTTGAAACATGCAAATACGCGCCTTAAGTAATTACAAAAATCTCATGCATAGCTACACCTTTGCAACATATCAGAAATATACTTGGTAAGCTTGACTTGATAAACATTAGAGAACTGTGTGACCAGGTTTTGTCTCTTTCAGAGTACAAAGCACAACTATATGATTATCTTAAGAGTAGGATGAACACTATTACACCCAATTTGACTGCTCTTATTGGGAAGCTTATTAGTGCTCGCCTTATTGCCCATGGTTGTAACACTTGCCTCGAATGTTATCCAAAAATCACACAATTTAAATAAACTAAGTGTGGTTAAAGAATTAATCCTAAAACCAACTTAGGAAACAAACCATTTAAATCACTAAGCAAATACACAATTGCAAATTAAACATTTAAAGCCTTTAAAAAATTTTATAGGTTCTACCTATAGCGCACGGAAGTAAGTTAGACGAAAGAAAGGTAAAAATATGCTGTCATTACAGCATTAAATTGCTGTCATGACAGCCCTCCCGAGTCAACTTTAGGGAGGCACCGTTCTGTCTTCCGATCTCCAATCGAAGAAATTTTAAAGTTCACACGTCACATTCAAAGAGTACTATAAGCGTACCAAATTTTAAAAAGATCCAACAGACGGATTAAAAATTGGATATGTTATAAATTTGGTCACTTTTGCTGTCATGACAGCACTTCCGAACCAACTTTTGGAGTGCACCATTTCATCATCCGACCTCCGATTGGAGTGATTCTAAAGCCCACATGTCACTTTTTAAGAATACTATTAGCATACCAAATTTTGAAAAGATCTAACAGACAGATTGAATTTTGTACAGGTTACAATATAACTACTGTAGCTGTCATAACAGCAATGAAATGCTGTCATGACAGCACCTCCAGACTAAATTTTGGAGTGCGCCGTTTCTCCATCCGATATCCGATCGACACGATTCCAAATCTCACACGAAGTTTATAAAAGGTTTTACTTGTGACCCAAATTTTAGAGGAATCCAATGGTCGGATTAAGATTTGGACACCCGGATGCAAAAGTGCAGCTTTTTGGTAAAAACCATTTTCAAAATTGTCCAAATCTCATCCTAATGGTCACAAACCTGTGGGAACACTTTGGACACGTCAAATAAGACTAAAAACACCTGATAGAACATTCAAATGATGGAAAACCCCCATACATCAAAATTTGACCACCTGGGTGCCATTTTCCATAATGGACCTTAAACCCCCAAAATGCACAAATCATACAAGAGCGGTCACAAATCAATCTAAATACCATGTATTTATATAAATACATATGCTAAATATTTTCACTTGGCTCAGAGCTCCTTGTGGGGCCCACGCACTCACTCTCTCTATCCAATGTGTATGTTTGCCTATAGCACATCATTTGCAATGCAACCACTTTGCATTTGCTTATAAAATCACATATATATCAAAATAAATATCTACTTGTAATAGAAACTTGGTTTACTAAGTAAATCCATCAAAACCACACTTCATAACTAAGTTTCCTAGCCACAAGTCTGCAAACAGATAAAAATTCATACACAAGCACACAATCCACACATATTCACACACACATACATAATCATATCCTACTGACACCCTAATCCTAAATACATTACAGTATATTTGCTCAAAAGAAAGGGGTTGCAGTTCTTTACAAATCACAAGCAAACTCCTGGCTTTGCTCCTTTCCCCGTATACCACTAGATCCTTCACCTGGACCTATAATATTGAAAAGAAAGGGGTAAGACAACCATAGTCTCAATAACAGAGAAATCTACATTGATTATTACAAAGTAAGCCATAATCAAATAAATAAATAATAAATTCAACATAGTATATAATTTAGCCATTTAAAATGTACAAATGCATGACCTAGGCCGGTATGGCCTTTCATGACCAACAGAATGCCCCCTGACACTCTTTAACTCACAGGTAAACCTTATACCTACTTGTACCTCCACAGGCACAAAACATAGTCTAAAGCATGATCTAATCCACTGAACCGCCTATACCCCTTCGACGTGAATCCTGAGCAGTCAAAGCTAACTCCCTCTGAGAGCTAGCCCGACTTACTCTCCATGTGAGGGCTACCTTTGCCTAGACACTCAACCTCACACTTCATATGTTGGATTTCCTCCCCCACTGAGAGGTGTCAAACACTCAATACACTAACCACTTTAGTGCACTGAGCCCACAATACGTAAGACAACACTGAGTACTGACAGTGTGCCATAAAATATCAAAAATCCATACCTTCTCATTGGTGAACTCCCACCAAGATCATGCCTTTTATTCTTGTCTATCTTTCCTAAGTATTGACCATTCAACACTCTAAAGTAGTATAACATTTATAAATCTCGTTTCCATAAAAATATTGTTATTAAATAATTTAAAAAAACATAATTGCACTATAATCAAAGTAGTACCCCATAACCCCTTATAAAGCACATTAAATCTTTTAAAACATGTAATGCATGATAGCTAGTGATATTTATTCAAACATAGCTAAAATAGAGTAATAGAAAATATAAATTTCCCCTGTTACCTCAACCCTTTGGTACCAAAAGGGTTCCTTTTGTACAAAATAGAACTTGGCTTGTTCCTTAACTTCCGAACAAATTCTACCAACAATCCCTACAACATATAAGTGATCCACATCACTTATCATGTCAAATAGCATTAATGAAGACTATAATTCATACCACACAACTTGGGTCTATGAGCCATAATCCATCCCAATGGTCTATATATTTAACCAACCATTCACATAGTATCACTTAACCACCAAAACTATTTATTAGCCATCACTAGGCTAAATTTCCAATTTATATAAAATTTTTAATCAATTAAAAACCTTTACTTAGTGCCACCAACTTTCACCATTAGCCCTTATAATGAAAACTAAAACTTAATTTAAATCTTATTGGGCTCAAATAGCAAAATTATAACTAAATCAATAAGCTTAAACCATTGAAGAGCAAAAACCCAATTTCTCAGGATTTATTTTGTGCCCAAAACACCTCTTTTCATCCAATTATCCACTCAAAACATTAGATCACTATATAGAAACTCAAAACATGCTCCCCAGGATTCAAAGAAACAAAAGCGTACAAGAATAAAGCCTTTGGGATCAAAATCAAAAAATCTCCTCTTCTAAAAATTGAAGAAAATTAAGAGAAAGAGAAGAGGATTGAAGTAGGGAGTTTACCTATCGTGTAGCCGAGCTCGCAACGGTCGCAAAGACTCCTAGATCCAAGCCTAACTCCCTCCCTTTCTCTTCTCTTCTTCCTCTCTCCCTCTCGTGTGTTTCCTTTCCTTTCCTTTCTCTGCATTTCTGCGTCTCTTTTCCCCTTATAAAAGCTGATCTAAAAGTTTGGGAAAAATTACAAGAAATAGCCCAACATTTTTTATTATTGCACAAAAGCCCGGGTCAACTTTGGTAATTTTTTCCATAGTTAAAAATCAAATAAAACCAAACTTTTGCTTAGTAAAATTCAAACTCTGGGCCTCTATTAAATTATTCTAAATTTTAATTTAATTATAGATATTTTATTTTATTTTTTTAAAATAAATTTGAGTCTTAAAATTTTTAGGATGTTACGTTACTTTTATGCTCTTTCCCTTCTACCACTAACCTGGACTAATATTATTTTTCTTTCTCTAGCTTGTTCCTTTAGGAGGGGAGAAAGGTCCGTACACTTGTGGCCGTACACCTTTCAGTTCTAATATGGCTCGAAGGGGAAGGGGTAGATCGAGGAATGAGGAACGACCACCACCTCTACCTCCTCTGCCTCCGCCTCCGCCTCCACCTCCACCACCACCACAGGGGATGGATGCAGTCATGGCTAGGCTGCTTGAAGTTATGGTGGATATACAGCAAATCTTAGAAGTCATACTGTTCCAGATCAGCATGTTGACCTAAATGCTGGGCAGGGATCTTCTAGTACTATGGGAGCTCATGCACTAGTTGCTAATAATCAAGAGGATGACATATCCGAACCTTGGAAGGAATTCTCTCGCTCTAATCCGACCACATATGATGGTAGTATGCTTGATGGGAAAGCTGAGGAGTGGTTGGATCGGATGAAGCAGTTATTTACTGTTGTTGCACAATCTCCTTAATGTAGATCTCAGCATACCTATCAACCGTGTAGGTGGCCTTGAATTTTGGGTCACAAGTAAAACCTTTTATAAGCTTCGTGTGGGATTTGGAATCATGTCAATCGGATATCGGATGGAGAAACAGCGTACTCCAGAATTTGGTCTGGAGGTGTTGTCATAATGCTGTCATGATAGCATTTCATTGCTGTCATGACAGCTACAGTAGTTATATTGTAACATGCACAAAATTCAATCCGTCCGTTGGATCTTTTCAAAATTTGGTATGCTAATAGTATTCTTAAAAAGTGACATGTGGGCTTTAGAATCACTCTGATCGGAGGTCGGATGATGAAATGGTGCACTCCAGAAGTTGGTCTGGAAGTGCTGTCATGACAGCAAAAGTGACCAAATTTATAACATGTCCAATTTTTAATCCGACCGTTGGATCTTTTTAAAATTTGGTACACTTATAGTAACCTTTGAATGTGACGTGTGAACTTATAAAATTTCTTCGATCGGAGATCGGAAGATAGAACGGTGCCTCCCTGAAGTTGACTCGGGAGGGCTGTCATGACAGCAATTTAATGCTGTAATAACAGCATATTTTTACCCTTCTTTCGTCTAACTTGCTTCCGTGTGCTATAGGTAGAACCTATAAAATTTTTTAAAGGCTTTAAATGTTTAATTTGCAATTGTGTATTTACTTAGTGATTTAAATGGTTTCTTTCCTAAGTTAGTTTTAGGATTAATTCCTTAACCACACTTAGTTTATTTGAATTGTGTAATTTTTGGATAACACTCGAGGCAAGTGTTACAATGGTGGTAGCTTCCTCAATCTTGCAAAGCTGCCAGGGAGTACTGTACAAATACTTGGTGCTGAAAAGGCTCTCTTTAGGGCCCTAAAGACTAAGCATGCTACCCCAAATTATGAGTTATTTATTATGCATCATTAATTGTCAGCCTGCTCAAAACTTTAAGGGTAAAATTTCTCGATCACTTGCTGCAAAGACAGCATTGGCGATTATGGAAGATGCTCTTAGACATGGTCAACATAATTCAATGGGATTGGAAAACAGAGCCAAGGTGCTTGTGCTATTCTCTAGTTAGTTCTCCTACTTTTGTTGTCACTTGCTACCATTTCTTATATATACTTTCACACAGCTTGAAGCACGCCTAAGGAGTCTTGAAGGCAATGAACTAGGTAGATTTGCCGGTTCAACTAAAGGAAAGCCAAAGATAGAAAGTTATGACAAAGATTGGAAGAAGGGAGTTGGAGGCTTCCGTCAAGCTCCTCACAGTGTGTTTGTGGATGAGGAAATGCAAGAGCTTCCTGTTGCTGAAGAAAAGAAAGAAAAGAATAAAAAGAAGAAAGAGAGAAGTGGGGACGACGATGCTGCTCTACAAGCTGATGCTGGCAAGGAATCAGATCAGGTGGAAACTGTAAAGAAGGAGAAGAAGAAGAAACGTAGGGATTCTGCTAAGGATGGCCAGGTGCAGGCTGAGGAGGATTACAGAGATGGTGAATTACAGTGAGAAGAAAACCGACATACGAGCAAAATAACAGAGATGGAGAATTACAGTTATGTGCGAAAACGGAGATGCAAAAAATTAAAGTCACAATCGAGATACCAGCTAAAAAAAGAAAAGAACAAAGAAAGGAATAATGGGAGAAGAAAACGCATAATGAATGGCAGTTGAACCTGTGGTGGTGAGACAGTGGCAGAGGACGGCAAAGATAGTCCGATGATGGCGATTAGGGCAAATATGAGTCGCTAAAGTAGGAGCGAGCAACTCTCGTTCTTTACTCCTTCGAGTTTTTCACTCTCTAATGGCGCGACGGTCTTCTCCGATGGAATGCGACCGTGAGAATAGTGCTCAGCCATTAGCTCTGGAGCACGACAGAATGAGGAAGACACAACCGTCTTCAGTTTCGTGGGTTAGTAGGAAGCAGACCGATTTTTCATATTTCAAATAGAGGGTAAATGGGTAATTTCACTTTCAGATTTATTCACCCTTACGTCCCTAAGGACCTGGCAGCTATTTCTTAAATTCATGAGACCTCAGTGTATTTAAAGTGCTTCCATGGGACTTTAGACTGATTCTCCCATAAAAGAAAGCAGATGAAGTCAACTGAATTTAGAAACTAGCAATGACGTGATGTTGGTGGTGGAAGAAGAAAATAGGCTTTGCCCTTGTTAATTAGATGAATTTTTTTTCATTTATTATTTCTCCACTACTCAATTTCTTATCTCAATCTTTGAATTAATTTTTAAATGATCAGGCTTTAATATTTTATAAAATTATTATTAAAATATAAAATTATGAAACAATTACGCATCGATATATAGATACTTTATCTTTATTTTAAATTAAAATTAATTTTGTGTTTTTTAATTTTTACATTTTACTTTTTTCAAATGCAAATTCGATCGATTTGACAAGTCAATGGAAGGGTTTAGTTAACAGTTGTTCGATATAATTTAAAAAAAAATAGGGATAATGACAATTAAGTTTTAAATAAATGTATTAATGATAGTTAAGATAATTTTTTATAAAATAAATTATAAATATTAATTTAAACAATTACAAATAAAATTTTTTATTACAATTTAATAATTATATTTAATATTTAAATACTTATTTATAATTAAAAAATTTTTATTTATGATAATTTAGATCAATATTCTCAACTTATTTTTAAAAAAAATCTATCAGATATTTAACTAGTATTAATTCAGTATTTTTTGTCCCAAAAAAATACACCATCTGGATTAATCATTTAACAAGAATTTATTAAAGAACAAGAAACATGATATTATTATAAATGAGGTCTAAATAAATTAGAAATTTTATTGCAAGAATTTGTGCCTGAAATGAAATTAAAATGTAAGATAAAATGGTTGAAATAATTTTTTTGAGTTAAAATATTTTCTTTACATATTAATTCTCCATAATTATTTGTTAAAATTTTAATTTTACATGTTAATTTGCTATAGCTACTTGTTAAAATCTTTACTTTACATATTAATTCTCTATAATTACTTGTCAAAATTTTTACTTTGCATATTAATTTCTTGACATTATTTGATAACTTATTAAATCAATTACTGTACTTATTAAATGCATAACATTACTTGCTTATTCTCTATAATTAGTTTTTAAAATATTTACTTTACATGTGTTATTAACACATTAATAGAACTTGGACAAGCGGGGCGGCATGATCACAGGGTTGAAAGGTAGAAAAAGACAAGATTGAATTCTAAAGAGAATGTCCGGACTGTATAGGTGGGATATAATATCACCTAATTTACTCTATAAAATTTACTGTAATTAAAAGAGTTAATTATAATAGAAAAGAAAAAGAAACTATTATTAAAGGTCTACAATAATTAATAAAATTAAACTTATAATCCGTAACTTAAAATAAGCAACAATAATTAGACCCTATCATGGTAGGATGGATTTTATTATAGTAGAAAGGATTAAAATAATTTAATATTTATTAGTTAATGAAACCCATCATAACAGGGTATAATTAAATAATTCATTGGGACCCCAAATTGAACAAAAATGTCAAGGCCCAACGTACTTAAATCATAGTTTCAAAAACATTTAAAAACATGAGATATCACTTGATTTGAATACAACAGTGAAAAAAAGTTTAAAAAAATAACTTTTTTTAAAAATTCAAGAGCATCTGTAGTGGCACGTCATATTACACCACGGCATGATCTCTTTTGTGCTATGTGCTGCGGGGCATTACATAGAACATAGTAGCATTTTTGTTGTCATAATGAAACATCCCTCACTTACACACTTATTTTATTTTATTTAAAATAATATTTTTATCAAAAACTCAAATTTTTAAAACATTTGTCATGGTAAAAAAAAGTGTATTATGATAATAAAAATGAAAGACATTTTTTCAAACATTACCATGTTAGGACAAAGTCTTACCATGATAAAAATAATAAAACTAATAACTTACAACATTATCATGATAGAAAAAAGTCTAACATAGTAATTAAGAAATAAATAATTATTTAAAAACATACCATCATATAAAAGAACTTTTCTTATGATAAAACATTTCATAAACATTAACTATTATGGTAATAAAATAGTTACACAGATCAAATAGATCCACCATGATATTTAAAAATAGCTCATCTAACTAGAGGTATCAAAATGGGATCTCATTACAAAAAGTCTTTAAAAATTTATAATAAAGACGTAAAGCATTTTAAATAGCAGAGCATAATTCTCAAGCTTACATTGTCTAAAACAAGCTTTTTTAACAAATTAACTAATGACTTTGATTTAAAGTTATGACACCACAAAACTATTAAGTTTCCATAATACCCTTCCCTATACTATTTAAGTTTTCCAAATCTCAATCAAAGCCAAGAGCCAATGTGTGGTAATAGTAGGCCATACAACACACTTATCATACAACACTAATATGTACACAAAATACAAAATAATCTCATAGTTGGGTTTAGCCTCCCAACATAGTTATACTAAAAATTCCAATTATATAATCACAACATAATGTTCCAAAAATCAATTTAAGACCATGAGGAGCAAACAGAAGTCTCACAACCAACATATATGAAGTCAATTAAAAGATAAAATCTACATTATGGCTATGAGGAGTAGACATGAGTCTCTCGGTCACTACATGCAAGGTAAAACAAATTATAACATATACATGTTCATCATATTCAAAATAGTTTAAGGTTGGCAAATATATATTACTTCTACGAAAAAACATGCCAAGTAGCCAATAGGTGTCAACAAACACTAAATCACTCTCTTGGTGCTCCTCTATCTAGTCTCTTTCCTATAAAATTGTTAACCAAGGGAAATTAGACACAAAGGTACTAGTAAACAAATCTAAGATGAAATAAAGTATGTAAAGTAATCAAATATGTTAATTACTTTTAAAAAAAACCACACACACACATATTCAATTCTTGCAAATACACATATATAGCATGACAACTTTTTATCTCCTCTACACACTATATTTGATACTCTAGTTTGCTTGACCAAAGGTAAACTAGTCCAAGCCACATGTGCCACCCATTAGGCTTAATAGGGCATACCATATGGTAACATTTATCTAGCACACGACTTCGAAGCATACACCAACATGTCATGCAATTAAGAACAATTTCAATACACATAAATGCATAACACATAAAAACTCATACTTTCTAATACACTTTTGTTCTAAACACTTTCTCATAATCAATTAATATCTCACTTGGCAACACATTTTCTCAACAAAATAAAATTTAATCTGACACACGGGTCCTCAACTCATATACTTCATAATTCAAAATTCACATAATTAATCATAAAACACACAATATAACATCAAAAAGTGGTTACCTCTTATTCTTCAATAGTAAGATTCCCCAAATGCAAAAGTGATCACCTACAATATCCACAACAGAATTTACACAACACAATTATGCTAATTAACAATAACACATTAATTATTACTAATTATAGTACCCAACAGTAATCACATACTAATCCTAGGGTTAGATTAATTAATCTCATTAACTTAGGCAAATCTCATACAAAGAACGAAGTGAATAACTCTTACATTAATTAAGCAATGAACTAATGATCTAACTATTGAAAATGATGAGTTAGATGTTATGAACTCACTAGCCAAATTTCAACCATTTCTAAAGGTTAACAAATTAGCAAATGCTGATTTATCGAGATTGTTATATGAAAATGTGAAAATAGTTTTCTTTTTTTTTCTCTTCTCTCAAAGCTTAATTCTGAATATAGCCTCTCTCTCATAATTTAATTTGATCTCTCTATACTTCACTTACTGAGACTCACAATAGGCTTCAATAGTAGGTCTTTCTTCACATTGGAAAGGAGCTTAAACTCATTAACCTCAAATTTCTTCAAAACACAATTTAATTCTCAATTAAACCTCATAATTTTTTAAATTAAATTCCTAAATAAAATCATGACATTACACATAACTCTGGGGGCAAATTTCTAACACATCCTAATTCTTTGTCTGATGTTCATTTGAAATGATTTAGATATTTACAAAAAGCTTGTTTAATGACTTAGCTAATGGTATTAATTTTATTTTTAAATTATATCATATTAAAAAGTTAGACACCCGAATCTACTTACACAGTATTTAAGCCATAATTAGACACCAATAGCACCTACAACAAGGCCTAGGGTACTAAATACAACTAATGAACTTAAATAGCATGTGACAGTGCAAGCAAACAAAATAATTGTCTTTGTTGGCAATTTTCATCATCATCAATTGCATATAAAATAATCGAAAGAAAGAGGCTTATAGTAGAAATCATGAATTCTTATAACCCTGCTACTTTCACCTTATCTTCTTTGGAGCTAGTGCCTGTCAAATATAAAATAGGGGTGAATACAACCATCTAGTAATTAATGTAACTCTAAATTATACACACGCAAGTCAAATTAATTAAAGCATGCAAAGTGAGCATTTAAATGTAATCAAACCCATACTCAATGCCATATAAAAGATGCATGATCAAATTAATTCTTATTTCCTCCATATATTGCTGACTGAATTTGTGAGTTGAATTTTTAATAAGGCTAAGTCTATGTAAATTGACTAGTCCAAGCTTATGAAACATGAGGAGCTACCCAACCAAAAGTGTCACACTTACCTTAGACCACAGATTCTCTCATTCTCAAATTCATTAGGTTATTACAAGCCATACCTACACCCAGTCCAGAGCAATATTATAGGCTAGGGGTCTAGGTAACTTATATTTACACCTATTACTAGGTAAGATTCAAGAAAACCTGATCCCCAAACTAAACTTGGCATTGGTTGTATTCACATGGATAGATAGTACTAACTCCTCCTAGAGCAACCTCTACTCAATATGTGATCATGTCAATAATATCAATGCAACAGTAATACATAAACCAAAGTTCATATCAAATTTAACTTCCAAAGCTTAACATATACAATTCAATATTAATTCATTGATCAAATCTTAGATTTGCCAGCATTTTCCAATATATAAACTTCAAGTTAAACTTTAGAAACATAATTTCTAAGTTTATTAAGATACAAAAGGCATTTATCAAGTTCACAAGCAACCAAAATTAATCTAGCAAGCAATTAGCACGAAATAGAATCTCTCTTACCTCAAACCTTTAAGAACTTAAAGGTTACCAATAACAACTTACTTCCTAACCTAGGATTGAGCTCAAACATTCATGCCACAAGGTTAATATACAAGTAATAGCAATCATTATCATGAATAATTAACATAAACACCACTCCCAACTCATAAACTCATGCTTTAACAACCCAACTTCCCAACTACAAATCCAAACTCAAATCCAATAGGTCTATTAGTTATCACTAACCATTACTAAACCATTTAACATACAATTTTACCTAATTACCCTTTATTAATTAGTTAAATTTGAGAGTTAAAATTTAAAATGTTACATAGGAGGGTGAAATCAAATTCAAGATCTTTTGATGGAATTACAATCTACAGAGAATTAATTTCATGTATACCAAACATACCATTAATTGAGAGCCTGTTTATTCCATTTCTACACTCAGAACTCCTCCATGCTATATGAGGCCTTAGTTTTTCTTTCGTCATTTGTTTGTATATAGACTTTCTTGTTTGAAATATATGGTTCCAGTTTCCACTGAAAAAACAGTTATTTGGCCTTCATCGTGGGGATGTGTTTGTGTTTTTAACAGATGATCTGCTATGGAGCATTAATTGCAAGAGTTAAACTCAAGACTACCTTAAAAATAGAGTATCTTAACTTTTTTCCCCCCTTTTCTTTCTTTTTCCTGAACCTGGTGATTGGTCTCCCACACTATTTTTGGTACGATGGTCTTGTATGCAAGGCAAATGGCCAAGCCAAATATGGATCACTTGAAACGTGAGAATCAGGTGTGGCAAAATGTCTCATGCTATTTACAATCTAGCAATAAATTCAACATAACTACACATCCTTGATCACATGTTGGGTGCCAACAGGCCCCACCCTGATTAATTCTAATTAAATATAAACTTAAATGATTATTCATATGTACTCTTTCAGTTTAATTTATGAGTGATTTTTAGCATGTTTTATTAAAATTTAAAAAAATTTAAAATTTATCAATTCTGTTCAAAAATTTAAAAAATTTTTAACTTTATCATTATTATATATATATATTAATAATATATTTTCTCTTTCTAACATTTAATAGAAGGTAACAGAAAATATTTATAATAAAAATTTATTAATGTAATTTATAAATAAAAAAAATCTTCTCTTTGTTTGATAAATAGAACCCGATGGAGTATATTCGAAAGCCAAATACTGTACCACACCATACTTATTACTCCATACTAGCTTTATTTCCACTGCATTAACCAGCTTCAATAAATGAATATGAAGCTAGTGGAAACTAGCAATCAATTATAGATATTTGATTCATCATCAACAGAACAGAGGTATTGGGATCAATTTTGACATGATTATTATAGAAAAAAACTGGGGAAAAAAAAGATGAATCATGAAACCCCAAGCATTTTATTGGAGAATCACTCAAAAATCACATCATCATCTACACACACATATATATACGTAAATATATCTGTAATATATATTTTTTTTCATTTATTTTTTTCATTTACAATAGCTGGGTTAGATTATCCAAACAAACCCTTCTGGCTTCAAGGATCTCTGACGTACGAACTTGGTTCAATCATCTAATTTCAACCTCCATGAAAATGAGAAGACGAAAATTACAGAATAAGGACTATGAGGAAAAAAGAGATACAGGAAGATGATGAACATTCATTCTTCCTCCTATTACTGCAGATTCGACACTACATTAAAATTGTTACTCTCAAACAATGCCTTCGCTGTCATTTCCCTCTCGAACCTCCAAATATAATTCAACCCCACAAGCAGCTCAGTAATGGCGGCCTCTGTTTTCTCCTTGTTCGCGAAAAACAGAGTCTGCAACAGCAAAACGTTCGTTTTTGGCATTGAATTCTGCTGCTCGAAGCTTCTCTCGCTCTGCCACTTTATCATGTTATGAGCCAACGGCGATAACCATCCCAGAATCCTCCCTAATGCCTCCCTCCATTCTCCGGCGAGCACCGGATCACTCGCCGAGAACCCGACTCCTTTCAGTCTTTTTCTCAGGGACGATCTGATACTGTTTGGTAACATCGAGTACAGATCATCCCTCGCATCCATGCCAACTAACTGTGGAGATTTTATCATCTTCTCCATCACTATGATCAAATTCGCATAGTGCAAAGCCAGAGCTGCGGCTCCTAACGTAGTTTCTGGCGGCTTCAGAAGCTTCTGATTTGACTCGAAGAACCCAGCTGATAAATCTTTCTTTTCTTCGTCGAGATTTGAGTTTTTGGTTGATGGGCTAGAAATGAAAGGAGGGTTTTGATCGGATGGGTAAACGGCGGCGGAAGCAGAGAGGGTACGAGATAAACAGGGGACGCAATGGCCAATTCCAAAAACAAGCTTAATCCTTGCTAAAATGGTGAAACTTGACCTTACGAGCAATGAAACAACGGAATCGAAGCTTCTATTCCACAGAGATCTGTCCTTTAAGTCCTTTATCTCTTGTTTCTGCCAGAAAATCTTCTGCTGAAGCTCGTAGATTTTCTGGTCCCTGCTGATTGAAGAAGAAGAAGAAGCTTCGTTATCGTTACCATGTTGCAGAGTTTTTCTCAGCGAACTTTCTAGAACCGAAAGCTCGTCCATTTCTCTGTACAGAGTAGCCGATATGGTCACATAACGTTCCATTTTCTTGTGCTTGGCCTCGATTTCCTTCGGGCTCGAGAGGACCCACCCGTGCGGGTCGCGACCCGAGTCGGCGAACTCGTGGAATAGCCGCTCGAACGATCGGAGGTTAGAATCCTCGCATCTCCGGCTGATCCTAGTGACGGAGTTGGCGACGAGCCTGAGGTTGTGAGCGAACTCGGCGCAGGCGAGGCCGAGCAGAAACGACTCGTCGTTTGAGATGATCTTACGAACACCTTCAAGGGAAATATAGTCGTTTCGTAGACGAATGATGTTAGGGTCACAGAGGGACTGCCATAAATGGAGGAGCTTCGACATGACGCCGGCGATCTCGAAGGCCAAAACGCCTACGTTTTTGGCCTTGAAAGACGATTTCTTAAGCAACAGTTTCCGGTTCGACGACGCCGGAGAGGGTCGAACAGAGTCGAACCGGTTTGAAAGCGCTGTTCTGACCTTGATGAGCAGAGTTTCAAGGGCCATGAGAAAGAAGAAGAAGTTGAAGCAGGTATGGAAGGGACGAAGTAGAGTTAGAAAGAAGGAATGAAGATGATGTGTTTGTGAAAATGCATGAGAGAGAGGGGGGGGGGGGAGAGGGGAGGTTAACGTGGTGGGAAGTATGGGAGTGATATCAGAGAGAAAGAGCAGAACGGTGAGTGAGAGGTTAAAGTACTTAAAAGATTAAACTTTACAACCACCAGATCGGAATTAGTTGTTGTGTCAGTTCTTGTATGGATTGAGATTCAGAGGCTCTTAGGGGGCGTGAAGAGTAAAAAATAGCAATTTAAGATATCAAATCCTCATACCGGAAAAAAAAAAAAAAAAAAATCCTCACAATTCACTTTCTATTTTAAACATATTTAGAACATTGGCTAAAATAATTATTCATACTTAGAACATTCAGGTCAAATGACCGGGACTCAATGTTTTTCGTCCTTTTTTAAAAAGAAATAAATTCATCAATTTATCCTTATCTTTAAAAACATTTTTTTCCTCGTACGCTCTGTTTGTTTTATTTTATAAGACACTTTTTTTTAAATGATTTGATGTCCTAAAATATATTTAATGTTTTAAAAAATTTTCATTATTTATAATTATTTTTTTTCATTCCCTTCATTAAATAAGCTTATGAAAAATAAGATTGTAAATTATATTTAATATGTTTTATTAATGTGTGTAATTTTATCAAAAAATATTTTAAAACTTGGGAAGGAAGGAAGTAACATTTTATTCTACTCATGAGTTCAAAGTGATTTATAAAAAAAAATTATCAATCCTTTTTTTTAAAAAATAACTTATACAAAAGGCTGGACCAAATATTTTAATGACGGGAAGATATAAAAAAATAGAATCTTAATTATAGGCGAAAAGGCATCACTGTTATTGATAAATCGCTTTTTTCTTTTTTCTTTCTCCTTTTTTATTTTTTGAATAAAGTGTTATTGATAAAGCTGTTTTGCTTTGTAGGGTATTATTATTAACGGGGTGATGGGATTGGTTATGTTTGCGTGATTTGTATTATGGAGACGACACCTTTATGTATTAATTGATAAACAGTGAGTAAATCAGACCTTTTCTTTTGCGTTGGGATGCAGAGAAACACTTTTTTCTTAGATACTGTTATATTCTTTGAGAGCCATGGTCATGTCATTATTGGCTGTTTCCTTTTATTATTTTCCGATTTTATTAGACAACCATGTTTTGTTCTCATTTATTTGTTTGTTTATTCTGCATCATCATTATTTTCTTCCCTCTCTTATCCTCTCACATGCTACATAGCCAATTGTTTTTTTTTAAATAGCCAAATATTATATATATCAGTATTAGCTCCCTTAAAAAAAATATCAAGAAACAAAATTAAATTAGTTACTACTTAAAAATTGATTCCATTTTATCACTTATGCCCTTGATCAATGTTCATCTTTATCATTCTCATCTTTTTTTTGCATAGAAAAGTTTGCTCATTTTTTTATCAGGTTGGACCAAGTATTTTTATTCATTGTTTAAGGACATTTAAAAAAAAATTAGTAGTTACTACTTAAATTAAAATTTTGTAAAATACTTTATACAAAAGGACACAGCAACTTTCATTTCGGAAAGAAAAAAAAAATCTTCTATTTATGGTTAGAGAGAGTAGAATAATACTATATTGTAAAATATATTGTTCGTCCAACATGTGATTACTCCTTTGCTTCTTTTTATAAGAGAAGTATTTTTTTAGTCTTATTTATAAGTCATATTATTAAGTTAATTTTTATCAATAATTTTCATTTTACCCATATTAATTGATGGTGAAAATTTATTAATTTTTTAGACAAATTTTATGAGTTTTAAACTTTTTTCTCATTTTTTAATGAAATATGTTGAAAATAACTTATAAATAAGATTAGAGAGCATACATAGCTTAATTAATAATTTCAACTGGAATCTCTGAGAGCATATGATTTCTTTAATATTGAAAGAGTTTTTTGGCTTTCATATTCCTATCTAACTCAAATTAGATTAATCAAAATCCAATAAGTTGACCTATCATATTTTTGTGAGATTCTAAAATTTGACTCATTAAAATTTTCTTGAGCGAAAAAAGAAAATATACTCCTTCTAGGCTAAAATGTAAGTCAGTTAATTTTAGTTTAAAATATAAGTAACTTAATATTTATAAAAATTATTTTTTTCTCATTTCATCCATTGTATTTATTAACACGAACTTTTGTATTTATTATGAATTTATAACTTTCTTTTTTATTGATCATGCAGAATGCTCAAGTACGTGAAAAAGCCAGCGTTCATTGGTCTAAAGATGCTTCGTCAATTCAATTCACTACTGTTAATTTTGGTACAGCATTTATGATCATATATATATATATATATATAATAGCATATATAAATTCAAAATTTCAGGATCGTGATATCATCATTGGAGAAAAAAAATTAATGTTGTAAGCCCGTGTAGATGCTAAATAATTAATGATATCTATGTTAATAATTCGTTGGCATTACATCTTTTCATGGTAGTACTAAACATTCGAAATTCATTATCAAGTTGAATTATAGCACTCAAGTAAGTGTAAAATATAAATAATGTCTTTACAATAATTTAGATACAAATGTATTAGAATATTCCCACGGCCTGCATGCGTTTCAATTGGAAGCCTTGCGGATAATTTTGTTCAAGTTCAATTTTTTTTAAAAAAAAAAACATTCATAAAACAGTATATCTTATTAAAATTTATGATAATTAAATTGAGTTCTTAGAGTCTTCTCCATCTGTCTCTATCTATAAAATATTTTTTAAAAACTTATTTTTTTAAAAAAATATAAGAAGTGGTAATAATTTTTTTAAGTAATTAGATAATTTTACTCTTTTTTTGAAAAATGAAAGAAATATTAATTACGTGTTTTACCCATCATCACGATAATATTAATTGTAACATTATTAAGGATAAAACTAAAAAATTATTATAATTTTATATAATTTTAATTAAATAATAAATTTTTATTAACATGTGATGTTTAGTTAAAACACTATATATATGGACATATGGAAGAAGTAGATCAAAGATCTAGGACACCAGAATGAAAGAGAGAAAAAATGAAAATATGAAAGTAATAGAAAACTGATGAGTTTAATAAATTTCTCAAAGAAATAATAACATCGTAAAATAGAGTTGTTTAAAAAAATTATTAATAAATGACTAATTACATTACATAGTTAAATTTTGTAATTTGTAATACTGAAACAAGTATTCAACGAGATGCTGAAATAAAAAGAAAAGTAAACTCATATATCTTAGCAAAATAATATATTAATATCAATTTTAAATTAAATATAAATGAATATGAAATATTTAAAAATTAATATATAATAAAGCATAATAAAAAATACTCCGTATTAAGAAACCAAACATTTTCTTATGGCTCATCAAATAATGTGTTATTCTCTCTTCCTGTCATAAAGAAAGTTATTAATTAACATTTTTTATTTTTATCAAAGTTGCAAATTATCAAAAGGAGAATTTACTTCTAATTTGGTATTTTTATATGGCACATCAAATATTTCGTTGTTCTCTCTTTAATAAAGGTAAAGTTAAAATATATCTTTTTATTTTTCAAAGGATTTAATAAGTTAATCATTCTTCTTTAATTCTCGTGAAATGATAAAAAGAGATTTATCTATAATAGAAACTGGATGGAATAATGTAGCATATTTTTGAAGTTGGAATTCTTTTGGTTACTAATTTTATCAAAATTTAATTAAAATAATAATAATATAAAACTTTGCCCTCAGCACTTGATAACACGAGTTGCTTTCTTGAAGAAAATGCTCGCATGCTTTCTCTAGGTCCATGGTTTGACTTTTTCAAGCCACACGTTATTATTATTTTTTACTTTTGTTCTTTAAACAAAAGACTCCAGAAGCTTCAAATTCATCCAAATAATAAGCAAAGTAAGCTTGAGTTAAATTGAGTCAAAATTTATTACTAGAATAGATGTTCATATTTAATAATCTCTTTATTTTAAATTATAAAATATTTTTAAATAAAATCTAACATATCAATAAAGTTCATTAAATACATTTTACAACTTCACTTTTTCAATATAAAAATAAAAATATTTTTTATTTAATACTTTATTAATGAAATAATATTGAAAAGAGAGAACATATAAAAAAGATAATATTAAAAAAATATTAATAAAATTTTATTTTTATCAAAGTGTCTTATATTTTGGAATACTAATTTTTTTTAAAAGTATCTTATAATTTGAGACTGAAGGAATGTGTAATTGTATTTTAAATAAAATTATCTTTAATAAAAAGATACATATACGCAATCATTAAAAAAATAAATAAAGTCAAAATTCAGATACAACGTATGGATTAGTGTGGTGAGTTTCATTATTTAAATGTGCAATGAGTGTGCTAACAAATTGACATATTTTATTTTGGTAAATGTATGGATTCAATCCCAATAAGTAAACTAGAATTATATCGCCGACAAAGGAGATAGGTAAGTGTGTGTGCATAATATATATTGGAGACAAGCCGATGGACCCCGATCCAAAGTCAGATTTCAATTGAGATAATTTTTTTATACTGTGACAAACAAAGTCATGAATTTGATAACAACGTGTATTAAAAAAAAAATCAAGAACAGTTGAATAATTAAAAATAATTGGATATTGTGTGAAGCAGATATTTTTGTGGTCGACAAATAAAGAGAAAACCAACCCATCTGGCTCACTCCACCGTGTTACATGGTTAGTGGCATGCATGAGTGTGTTGACTGTTCAATGAGAGTCACCACCAAATGCTACGCAAATATTTTAGTAATTAATCTAATAATTAAGTTTGGATAAATTAAGTTATACAAACAATTAAACCAATAGGGTTTGGTCCTCACAAAATAACAAATTAATATTTGAATCTTTATTAAAAGAAATACTTACACTGTATCTCAAATAATATTGCTTCTTCAATCCTTTAAAATACATTGCCAAAATTTATTTATTTTAATTAGTGTCGGTGAAAAAGCATGTATACACGAGCAGTAGTATTAATTAATGTTATTAGCAACTGGACTTCAAGATGTATTGGATAATTAATT